CCTGCATCCACACATCCATCCACACATCCATTCCTGCATCCACACATCCATTCCTGCATGCACACTTCCACCCACCCATCCATCCACACATCCATCCACACATCCACACATCCATCCCTGCATCCACCCATCCACCCACTCATCTTTCAAAAGCAAAGTATTGACTGCATCTGCCATGAGGGTGGCCAGAGTGGTAAGTGCAGTGGTCAGTATGGAATGTGACACCTGAGACATGTTCGAGGGGAAGAGGGTAACTGCTGCACAGACTGAATTTCTGAGGTGCGGCTACCTTCCTGGTGCTGCTGGGTGCAAGACATCCCCCGAGAGGCCCCTCTGGGCCCATCTGCTCAGTGACATCTGGCCATCCCGGGAGCCCAGCCTCCTGGCTTGGCCTCTCTAAGCCTCCCACCCAAGAGCAACCCCCATCTGCGTTCACTTGCTCACCTTCACAACTGCTCTGGGGCCACCACCCTGCCTTTCCATCTGCGCAGCTCAGAGAAGTGATGTGAGCTGGCCCTGCACACCCCAGGCCTTCGAAGGTGCCGTGACTTGCTTGTGATATCTCAGGGGGCATCTGGGCAGAGGGCGGGCTGGCAGGTGCCCCTGCGGGGCCAGGTCAGAGTCTTGCTGCTGTGCCTCATGGCGCCGGTGTTGGGTCTCCTCGGGGGTCCCAGAGGGCTGGGTGTGCCTCCATCAGCCCCTCAGTTAGGTCCGGCCAGCAGGGGCCTCGTCTGGGAGGTGGGGCTGGGGCAGTGGAGACGACATGCGTCCTGCACCCTCCTCACCTCCTGCCCCAGTGGGAGTCTGGCCCAGCGAGTGAGACTTGAGCATTCGGTGACTTAGTTTCCCTTTCTGTAACACAGATGAATAATCAGGCAGAGCCCTGGCTTGCATCATGGGGCCTGAGACTGCACGTAGAGCTGGTGCAATTCGGGAAGGGGCTACATGGTCACAGTGTGGGGCTCTCCGGGGCTCAGCATGGGCAGGAAAGATACTCCCCACTGAATGGGGCTTTGTGATGGGCCCCATCCCTGAGGAGAGGGGGCCACACAAGGTCAGAGTGCTCTGGGGAAACCGAGGCAATAGTGCAGGAGTGTACGTGTGCCAGGAAGTGGCTCATGGAATGAGGGGGGCTGTGTCTGAGGCCGGGTCAAGTCCAGAGGCACCTGGAGGCAAACTCCCCTCTTTCCCGGGGACCTCAGTCTTTTCTCTTCAGGCTTTCACCTGATTGGGCGAGGCCCACCACACAGTTCAATCCCTCTGCTCACACCTGAGAAGCAGCTTCTCGGCAGCAGCATGGGACTAGTGTCCAGTCAGAAGCTGGGCACTGTGCCCAGCTGAGTGGGTCCAGACTTAACCGTCACCGGGGCGACCGAGAATGGGGGCCGGGCACCTTCCCCGGCAGGGCGGGGACCTTTCCCTCCTTCCCTCGCCAGCACCCCCCACCCCGCTTCCTGGTGAGTCAGTCTGTGGGCAGAGAGTGGGGCCATCACCTTGGCTGTGACGTCTGTGCAGCCTCCTCCCTGCGGTCACAGCCGTAAAGTCGGAGCAGTTCCAGGGAGTGTGTCTTGTCCAGGCAAACACTGCCGGGCGTGGGGTCCGGCCCGGCACAGGGCCCAGCAGTCAGCCCCTGGCCCAGAAGCATCCACCTGTGCTGGGCGGGGTGGCATCTCCACCCTGGCCCCCACATCCTTGTCCGGAGTGTGGCACCACCCAGCACTTCTCAAGGTGCCCAAGCGCCTCCCGCTCCCCCTGGGTCCTGGTGGGAAAGCCGCAGGGTGCTAGGGGTCCCCCAGGCTGGAGAGGGAAGTGGGCACCGTGAGGGTGGCCAGGAGGAAAGGCCGCATCCTCATGCCCATCTGGCCATGAACTCTGGGGGTCCCGGGTCTCTGCAGACCCACTGCCACACCTTCCTCTCGTCTTCATCCTGCAGCCAAGTGCTGGTCCCCACGCTGAGCCCGTCCCCATTTTCTGCAGCTGGAGGCCGAGAAGCTGTGGATCCACCCAGGCCTGACTGAGTCTTGCTGCCTCTGCGCCGCACTCTGAGGGTTGGGGTTCGCTCCCCACTGCCTGCTGCAAGCTGGGGTGCTGCATCACAGCTGCAGGCGCCCGCAGACCCCCGGAGGGGCAGAGAGGGCTGGTGGGCTCGCCCCCTTCCCTGCTGTGGTCACCACCACTGCGAGGATACAGGGTTGGCCTTCTCCATTCAGGAAGGGCCACCCATCGCTGATGCAGGAGGACCTGGATCCAGAATGCACCCCTCTTCCCAGGCCCAGCAGGACCTCCCTTTCCCTGCCTGGGAAGGAGCCCCCTCCTCAGCTCAGCATAGGTGGTCGTGGGGCGTCTTGCACCTCTCTAGGGTGAGGAAAAGGAGCCTGGCATGGAAAATTGCCCCCTCTGGGGGCCGGGGATTCCCAGGGCTCAGTGCCAGCACGGAGGCCCACCTGGAACGGGCACAATGGTGCCCTCGGCCCAGCGGGCTCCAGTTCCCTAATCCCCGCTTCCCTGGCTCAGCCAGCATAGTCCTGCTTCCCCGCGTGCCCGGCTGTTGGTCACCTGGCCCTGCTGCCCCTCCCTGGCCCTGACTGGCCCTGTGGCAGGGGTCCCAGGGTACCCCGTGTCCTGGTGATGCCCCTATGAGGAGCGTGCCAGGCCAGCAGGGCATGTGGGGAAACTCCATGCCGTCAGGTGAACCCTTACGGCCCTCAGGACCCCAGTCTGTTTTTACTACACCGCATCTGAATCAGAAACTGAATTCAGGACTCATCTGTTTTCAGGAGGAGGAAAACGTAGAGCAGGGAGGGGCCCCAGACCTCAGTTTACGCCTGGCTGCGGGTGGGCGCCTGTCTGTGTCCCTCCACCCTGGGTGGGCCTTGGGAATGGGAACTCCCAATTGGCCTAGATTTGGGGGCTCTGCGCCGTGATTCCTCAAGGCCTTTCAGACTGTGACGCAGCGGCAGCTGGCTTTGAGGTTCACCAGAAACCCCTCCCCAGGGACCCCTCCCGGCCTGGTGGCCCGGCCCTCTTCCCTCATCCTGCTGCGTGCAGGGGACCTGGTTCCCGTAAGCATCCAGGGCTGGGCGGTGCTCCGTGCTCCCCAAGTTCTAATTACATGTAATTTCAGAGACCGGCTTGGCCTGGGAAAAGGCTGGGATTAGGGAGTGGGCGGTGGGGAGTCTGAAGTGCTCGGTGAGCTCCAGGACCCCAGTCCTCAGCCACCTGGCCACCAGCACCCTGCCTCGGGGCTGTTCCCTCACTGTGACGGGGCAGGCTCGACCCACAGTGCCCAGGAGCAGCAGTCTGGGATGGGAGAGGTCGGGCGAGGCTGGGCAGGGACCCCCTGCCCCAGAAGCCTATTGGGCTTGAGCTCTCTTGGGGCACTGGACTGGGGCTGTGGGAGCCGGGAGGGGACGCGGAGACTGCCAGGACCAGACTGTAGCAGGGACCCCATCCCGCCCACCAGGGCCTGGTCCCGTGAGGTCCACTTGGGCGTGTGCTGGCATCAGGCGTGGGGAGGCCGCATCCTGAGGAAGCTGGGTTTACCCAGGGAGCCATAAAGAGATAAACTCAGATAAGGTGAATCAATATTGCCCTGTGGTGGCCACGCTCTCCTGCAGCTGTTTGCATGATAATCCGGTGGACGCCCCACCCACCTCCCCCTCCCTGCCCTCCACCCGCCCGCCACCCACCGGGCATAAAAGTCCCTGACCCCTGGCCCAGGCGCTCTCCGACTCGCCCTTCTGAGCCACCATGGGGCTGCCACTGGCCCACCTGGTGGCTGCCTGCCTGACCCTGGCCTCGGCCGGGGGCTTGGAGGTGCAGAGAGGTGAGAGGGGGAGCGGGCGGGCAGGGAAGGCACGCGTCTCTGGAGGAGGCTGTATGACCCTGGGTGCAGGGCTGCCCCGTGCCTGGCCTTCGGGGTTCCAAGTACACCGAGGCTCAGATGGCTCCACAGCACAGGGATCTCTGTCCCCAGCCACCCCTGAGAGTGGCCTGGTCAGGGTGGGCAGCTGAGCAGCTGAGGGGGCTGTTCCCAGGGGCGTGGGGGTGCATGGGGTGCCCAGAGGAGTGTGTAGGGTCCCAGGGACCGTGGAGGGTGAGGAGATTCGGGGGCCCACTCTGGGTGTGGGCTGTGTCCACCTGGGGGGGGGGCGGTTTTGGCCACAGGACACCAGCTGGCCTGTCCCGCCAGGGTGGCCCAAAGCCACAGGGCCCGTGTCTGGGGGTCTAGACCCTCTGAGGGCCCAGCCCAGCCCTGTGCCGAGGGTGCTGGAGGCCGCTGCACACCAAGCCAGGTGGCTGGGCTTGGGTTCTGGGGCTGCGGAGGGCACCTCTCAGGGGCTTCTGGGCCTGCATGGGGCCTGGCGCTCACCCTGCCTCTCCCCCAGTGGGCCGGTCCCGAAGCCACAGCCACAACGTCTGCAGCACCTGGGGCGACTTCCACTACAAGACCTTTGACGGTGACATCTTCCACTTCCCCGGCCTCTGTGACTACAACTTTGCCTCTGACTGCCGCGACTCCTACAAGGAGTTTGCTGTGCACCTGAAGCGGAGCCGGGGCAAGGATGGCGGCCACCCCCAGGTGGAGTCCGTGCTGCTGACCATCAAGGACGACACCATCTACCTCACCCAACAGCTGGCCGTGGTGAACGGGGCCATGTGAGTAGGGCAGGCGCGTCCTCTCCTGCGTCCCAGCAACAGGGGTCGCTGCTGGTCTTCAGAGCGGACGGGGGCCAGGGCAGCATCCAAGCACCCAGCAGCCACAGAAATCGCCTTCTGCTGTGGCACATGGCTAGGAAGGAGAGACTTGGAGTTTGAGTGGAGGTCAAGGATTCATTCAGCAAACATAGATGAGTCCCATCAGAGCTCTCCTTGCACGAGCAAGAGCTTCCTTGTGGCCCGGCCCCTCAGGGCCTGCCAGGGGTCTTGGATGGGGTGCCCAGTGGCTGTGGAGCAGTTCCCCAGGCTTGAGTTACAGGAGCGGGCCAGCTATTATCCCTACATTGTCTCCAGAACAATGCGGCCCTCTTGAATGTATTCCTGTCCAGCGGGTTCCTCACCCGCTGGATTTGCCCTTTTCCTGTTCAGGGGTTTCTGTTTCCCACCAGACCCAGGTCTCTGGGTATGTGGGGGGAAGGGCACAGAGGCGGGGTGAGGGGCACCTGAGCCCTGGGGGAGGGGCCTGGAGGCCCCTGGAGCTTCAGGATGGCCGAGTGGGGACGCCTTGCAGCCCAGGCTCTGTGGCCAGGTCCCAAGGGAAGCGGCCAGGCCTGGACAGTGTCCCAGCCACACTCCTGTCTCCAGCCCAGCCGGTCTGTCTGTGGCTCCTGGGGTCGTCCCCACCCTAGGGAGCATGGCCTCCGCACCCTGGGCAGCAGCCCAGAGGACATCCTGGCTGGTGGTGACCATGGGCGCTCCACCCCCAGGGTCAGCACCCCACACTACAGCTCAGGCCTGCTCATCGTGAAGAATGACGCCTACACCAAAATCTACTCCCGAGCCGGCCTCTCGCTCATGTGGAACCGCGAGGATGCGCTCATGGTGGGCACAGGGGGCGGGGCTGTGAGGGCCTTCAGGGAGACAAAGGCAGCTGCAGGCCAGCAAGCCCTGCCCGGGGAGGGACCCTCGGGCTGTAGGGACATGGGCTGGCTGTCGCCTCTGTTTCTCCCTGGTGGCCCACCCTGCTGTCCTAACCACCCACCCCACTTAGGAGCTGCCCTGGCCCTGGGGCTCCTGGTGGTCATCCGCCCCTCCCTGTTCCTGCAGCTGGAGCTGGACAGCAGGTTCCACAACCACACCTGCGGGCTGTGCGGCGACTACAACGGGGAGCAGACCTACTCGGAATTCCTGTCGGAAGGTGGGTTCAGGCCTGGTCAGGGCCGGGGGCTGCGGCTGGGGAGGACTGCGGAGGCTGCTGACCACTGACCTCTGTGGCCAGGCATACGCTTCAGCGCCATCGAGTTTGGGAACATGCAGAAGATCAACAAGCCCGAGGTGGAGTGTGAGGACCCCGAGGAGGAGAATGTGCCCAAGTCCTGCTCCCAGCACGTGAGTCGCGGTCGGGACCATCTCCAGGCTCTCGGGGTCCCTGCATCTGCCGGCCTTGGTGGGGAATCCCTGTGCCCATGGGGGGGAGCAGGGGCATGAGCAGCCACCCACTCACATCCCTGTCCAGCGTACTGAGTGTGAGAGGCTGCTGACGGCCGAGGCCTTCGAGGACTGCCAGACCCGCGTGCCGCTGGAGCTGTATGTGGAATCCTGCGTGCACGACCGCTGCCAGTGCCCACAGGCTGACAGCTGCATCTGCAGCACCGTGGCCGAGTTCTCCCGCCAGTGCTCCCACGCGGGCGGCCGGCCCGGAAACTGGAGGACAGCCTCGTTCTGTGGTAAGTGCCAGGGCCACCCTGGGGCCTGGGGAACCCCGGCGAGCTGGGGAACCCTTGTCTGCCTGCTGGACCCGCTCATGGCCACCTTTCCTTCCAGCCAAGAGCTGCCCTGGCAACATGGTGTACCTGGAGAGTGGCTCGCCCTGCATGGACACCTGCTCCCACCTGGAGGTCAGCAGCCTGTGTGAGGAGCATCCTATGGATGGCTGCTTCTGCCCTGAAGGTGCGTGTTGGGCACCCAACCCAGGGATTGGGGGCAAGGGTCCGCCCCCAGGACTGGAGGTACCCAGCTGGTTACCCTGCCCTGGGAGCCTGGGGCTCTCTGAGGCTGCCAGGGTGATGCTGGGTCCTCGGCCCCGCCAGGCACTGTGTACGATGACATCACGGGCAGTGGCTGTGTCCCTGTCAGCCAGTGCCACTGCAAGCTCCACGGCCACCTGTACGCCCCGGGCCAGGAGGTCACCAATGACTGTGAGCAGTGGTGAGTGCCACTGCCCAGGGCTCGGGCTGGGCAGGCGGGGTGCCGCAGAGCCCTGAACCTGTGTTCCACTGCCTGTCAGTGTCTGCAACGCCGGCCGCTGGGTGTGCGAGGACCTGCTGTGCCCTGGGACCTGTGCCCTGGAGGGTGGCTCCCACATCACCACCTTTGATGGGAAGAAGTTTACCTTCCATGGGGACTGCTACTACGTCCTTGCCAAGGTGGCGGTCAGGCAGGCAGGGCTCTGGGTGCACTGCCCCGGGTGACGGATGGATCGGCCCTGAAGAGGGTGCTTGGGTGCCTGTGGGTCGAGGGTGTTCCCTCCTGCATTGCTGCTGGGGTCCTACTGCAGCATCTCCTCCCTCCCCACAGGGTGACCACAACGACTCCTACGCCCTGCTGGGTGAGCTGGTCCCCTGCGGTGCCACGGACAAGCAGACCTGCCTGAAGACTGTAGTGCTACTGACAGACCGCAGGAAGAACGTGGGTGCCCCCCTCCCCGACCAGCCGCCCTAGGCGCTGCCAGCGCCTGACCCTGCCCCTCTTGCAGGTGGTGGCCTTCAAGTCGGATGGCAGCGTGCTGCTCAACGAGCTGCAGGTGACCCTGCCCCACGTGGCGGGTGAGTGCCTGGGACGCCTGTCCCAGGTGGGGGCAGTGCCTCTGTGGTGGTGGGGTGGGGACCTCCGCTGCCTCCCACCTCACCACATGCTGCCCTGCAGCCAGCTTCTCCATCTTCCGGCCGTCCTCCTACCACATCATGGTGAACACGGTCCTCGGGCTGCGGCTGCAGGTCCAGCTGGTGCCCGTCATGCAGCTCTTCGTGACGCTGGACCCGTCAGCCCAGGGGCAGGTGCAGGGTGAGTGGCCTCCCAGCAAATGCCCCCACACCCCCGACGGCCCCCAGCCCAGCCCCTCCCAACCCCATGCTGCCTGCAGGCCTCTGCGGGAACTTCAACGGCCTGGAGAGTGACGACTTCAAGACGTCTTGTGGGTTGGTGGAGGCCACGGGTGCCAGCTTTGCCAACTCCTGGAAGGCGCAGTCGAGCTGCCATGACAAACTGGACTGGCTGGACGACCCCTGCTCCCTCAACATCGAGAGCGGTGAGGCCCGCACCACAGACCCTAGCCGGTGTGGCTTCCGGCGGGTGGGGTCCCGGGGGACCTTGTCTACTGCAGGTGGGGACATGTGGAGGGGCAGCCCCGGCTGAGGTTCTGACCCCTGACCCCCAGCCAACTACGCCGAGCACTGGTGCTCCCTCCTGAAGAAGAAGGAGACGCCCTTCAGCAGGTGCCACCTGGCCGTGGACCCCACCGAGTATTACAAGGTGGGTCTGCCTTCTCCGTGCCCGCCTTCACCCCGACGCCATGGTGGCCTGAGGACCAGCACGGTGTGCGCGTGCAAGGGTACCAGGGCATGGCCACCTCCTGCCTCACTGTCTCCACGTTTCTGTGCAGAGGTGCAAGTACGACACGTGCAACTGTCAGAACAATGAGGACTGCCTGTGCGCGGCCCTGTCTTCCTATGCACGAGCCTGCGCTGCCAAGGGTGTCATGCTGTGGGGCTGGAGGGAGCGCGTCTGCAGTGAGTGTCCCTGGGCTTCTGGGGGCAGCTGGCTCCCTGCTTCCTCTGCCTGGAGCACAGGAAACAGCACCGGCAGCTGTTCCTGGTCGAGGTCCCAGGGCGGCTCCTTGACCCCTTAGCTGGGTGGGTGCCTGTCAGAGTGGAGGCTCACGGACGGTGCCAGAGCAGGAGCTGGAGCTGGTCTTCCACTCCTCACCGGCCCTGCGGTCCCTCTGCAGACAAGGATGTGGATGCCTGCCCCAGCTCGCAGATCTTCCTGTACAACCTGACCACCTGCCAGCAGACCTGCCGCTCGCTCTCTGAGGGCAACACCCACTGCCTGAAGGGCTTTGCGCCCGTGGACGGCTGTGGCTGCCCAGACCACACCTTCCTGGACCAGAAAGGCCGCTGTGTGCCCCGGGCCAAATGCTCCTGCTACCACCACGGGCTCTACTTGGAGGCGGGAGAGGTGATCCTGAGGCAGAATGAGCGCTGGTGGGTGTCCCGCGGCCGACAGGCCGGGCCTGGTGTGGGTGGGCTGCTTCTGGATCTCTGCCCCAAGATAAGGCATGAGAGCTCAACCCCAGAGCCAAGATGCCCCAGCAGGGCACAGGTGCCTGGGGTGGAGTGCTGAGGGGCCAAGCTGGCATCCGTCCCTGTGCAGTGGTGGCTTCTCCTGACCACCTTGCATGGGGATGGCGCCTGGGCTCCATTCACCCCTACTTTTCCTCGTAGCACTTGCCAGGAAGGGAGGCTGAACTGCAGGCTGATCCAGCTGATTGGTCAGAGTAAGTGGGTGCTGCCCGTGCGTGGCTGCCTCCCCTGCCCCTGAGCCCCCACCCTCAGCCTGGGCTAAGGCAGCCTCTCCATCCTGCAGGCTGCAAGGCTCCAAAGATTCTGGTGGACTGCAACAATCTCACGTCCCTGGCCACCCGGAAGCCCCGTCCCATCAGCTGCCAGACGCTGGTGGCTGGCTACGTGAGTGCTGGTGGGCTGGTTTAGGGGAGGAGGGCACACACCCCCACCTGCCCTCCCACTGGGGTCTGGACACAGGCTCCCCTTTCTGACTCTTCCATCCTTGGGAAGGGATGGCGGTCTCCTAGGGATCCCAGGCGTGCAGCTCCCAGTGGTGGACCTAAGGGGCAGCCCTGGGGCCAGGACCCAGTCCCTGTCAGAGTCCACCCCACCTCACATCTGCTCCAGGCTTCCTGGGGGATCTGGTCTCACAAGAACCTCATTCCAACTGCCCCCAGTACCACACGGGCTGTGTCAGTGGCTGCGTGTGCCCCCACGGGCTGCTGGACGATGGCCGTGGCGGCTGCGTGGTAGAGGAGGAGTGCCCGTGTGTCCACAACAAGGCCCTGTACCTGCCTGGGCACAAGATCAAGTTGGACTGCAACAACACCTGGTGAGCAGCTGGTCCCGGCCCCAGGAGGACCAATGGGCAGTGCCACTTAGTGATGCTGGCCTCCATGTCTGCTGCTGGCCTGGGGCCGTGGGGGCATGCATAAGTCTGAGGCAGCACTTTGGGGGTGGTGTGGGCACCAGCTGAGGTCCTGCCTGGGCTGCCAGGGCATTACCATGCCACTCCAGCTCCTCCCACTGTCCTCAGCACCTGCCAGAGGGGACGCTGGGAGTGCACAAAGTTCGCATGCCACGGCACCTGCTCCATCTATGGCAGCGGCCACTACGTCACTTTTGACGGGAGGCACTACGACTTTGACGGACACTGCTCCTACGTGGCTGTTCAGGTAAGCTGTGGACACCACTGTGGTCCCTACTCTGCTGTCCTGGGGTACGGTGGACCCCACACTGTCTAGAGGATTTGGATTTCTAGCAGCAGGTGGGTAGGTGAGCAGAGGGCCCTCCTGCCTGCACTTTGGGGCGTGGGCCTGGGTGTGTGTGGAGTGCCCCAGTCCCAGCCCCGCACCCCTGGGGGACGGGCTATCCCCAGCAACAGCCTGCAGAGGAGCGGCTGAGGCCGAGTGAAGTCTGAGTCAGGTCAGGGCTGGGCCTTGCAGATGGCAGAGGCAGAGCTGCGTCTGTCTGCCCAGCAGGCTGCCTGGCCCTGCTGGCTGGCAGGGTGGTTCCCCCTGACTGCCCACTTCCTGGCACCCAGCTGACTCTGCCTTACTCACCCGCAGGACTACTGTGGCCAGAACTCCACAGGCTCCTTCAGCATCGTCACCGAGAACGTCCCCTGCGGCACCACCGGTGTCACCTGCTCCAAGGCCATCAAGATCTTCTTGGGGGTGAGTGTGGCTCACCCTGGAGGATGGAGGACCGTGGGGACCCTCAGACACGGCCACTGACCGGAGTCCCCGCCAGCAGAAGACTGAGCTGAAGCTGGAGGAGAAGCACCGCGAGGTGATCCAGCTGGAGGAGGGCCACCACGCGGCCTACACCACGCGGGAGGTGGGCCAGTACCTGGTGGTGGAGGCCAGCACGGGCGTCATCGTGATCTGGGACAAGAAGACCACCGTCTTCATCAAGCTGGCCCCCTCCTACAAGGTGGGCCCTGCCGTCCCCTGGGCCCCCCACCTGTGCGGGCTCAGTCACCCGGCCGGCCGGCCTCAACCGCGCACGCTCGTGTCCCCAGGGCTCCGTGTGTGGGCTGTGCGGGAACTTCGACGACCGCACCAGCAACGACTTCACCACGCGGGACCACATGGTGGTGAGCGGCGAGCTGGACTTTGGGAACAGCTGGAAGGAGGCCTCCACCTGCCCGGACGTGACTGCCACCCCGGACCCCTGCAGCGTGAACCCGCACCGCCGCTCCTGGGCCGAGAAGCAGTGCAGCATCATCAAGAGCAGCGTGTTCGCTGTGTGCCACAGCAAGGTGCAAAGGGGCTGAGGGCGGGACTACCCACCGGGGACCCTGGCAAGGAGCTAGAGGAAGCTGGGGGCGGGACCGCCTCAGGCAGAGCTCAGTTATTGGCGCACAGTGTCTGGGGTGGGGCCTTGGGCCTGGGCGGGGCCCTGCGTGAGAGCCCAGAGGCAGTGGGCGGGGCCAAGAGGACGGCGAGGCTGTAGGTCCGGTCGGGCAGTGCTTGCACACGGCTGTGATGCGCTCGTCCTTCAGCTTTGTCTCTGTCTGTTTCTTTGGACCTGACCACATGACCAGCTTCTGTCTGAGACTCCTGGTGACTCCTGGCCTCCCTCTGCTCTCCCTGGTCCACAGTCACCAGGGAGAAAGGACCTAACCCTCTAGCCCCAGATGGGCTGCTGCTGGAGGCCTTAGGACAGGGCCAATTTTTAGCAGTGCCGTCATACAGCTGAGACCTGTGGGCTGCAGGGCTGGGTGACATCGCTACTACCAGTCTGGAGCCCTCCCCCACCCTCAGCCAGCCTGGCCCTGGGGGCGGGTGCTGGGTAACCGTGCCCTGCCCCTCCTCCAGGTGGACCCCACGGTCTTCTACGAGGCCTGTGTGCACGACTCCTGCTCCTGCGACTCCGGCGGGGACTGTGAGTGCTTCTGCTCCGCCGTGGCCTCCTATGCCCAGGAGTGCACCAAGGCAGAGGCCTGTGTGTTCTGGAGGACCCCGGATCTGTGCCGTGAGTGCCCACATCCTGGGCTGCAGTCCCTGCGGGGGTCTGCCCTTCCTCCCCATCTGGGTATTGGTGTGTGTGTCACACACCTCCCACCCTCCTGGGCATCCTTCCTCAGGCCACCCTGGCACTGGGTCCACAGGACCCTGCCGGACACGTCCTGCCCATGTCCCCCTCACCTTGGGCCCACCTGTGCCCCAAGTCCAACCCTTGTGCCCCTGCCACACCCCAGCCATTTTCTGTGACTACTACAACCCCCCTGACGAGTGTGAGTGGCACTACGAGCCGTGTGGGAACCGCAGCTTCGAGACCTGCAGGACCATCAATGGCATCCACTCCAACATCTCTGTGTCCTACTTGGAGGGTGAGTGACAGCCGGCAGGCCTTGGGTACCCCTGGAGATCCGGAGCTCAGGGTTTGTTCGTGGACGGTGGCTTGGAGCCTGAGTGAAGGCCCTGCCTTCCTGGAGAGGTGGAGAAGAAGCACTGACACAGCCCCCGAAAGGCAGGCATGGGCTATGCTGGGGAACCCTGGGGTGTGAGGCGAGGCCACAGCTCCTGGCCCTGACAGAGGGTGTCCCCGGAGGAAGGGCCTGTGGGCAGGGGCCGATGGGAGGCCTAGGAGGCTGGGCTCCTCCATGGTGGTTCAGACCGCATTCTCTGTGCCTGCCAGGCTGCTACCCCCGGTGCCCTAAGGACAGGCCCATCTACGATGAGGCCAGGAAGAGGTGTGTCACTGGTGACCAATGTGGCTGCTATGTGGAGGACATCCCCTATCTACCAGGAAAATCGGTTCCCACCGAGGAGATCTGCCAGACCTGGTACCTACACTCACACTACTCAGGGGCCGGAGGCACAGCCACACATGCACACGTGTGCACACACGCAGACATAGCCACACATGCATGGGTGCACATGCACACACGCATGAGCAAGTCACACATAGCATGCACACGCGCCACCCCATGAGGTGCACTCAGGCATAGATGCATGCATGTGCACACGTGGGCACATACCACGCACACGGGCACATGCATGGACACATGCATGGAGGTGCCCTGTCCCCTCTCCCATGGGGTAGCTCCTTTCAAGTTGGCCCTTGGGCTGTGCCACAGCTTTGGGCTGGGCCTCCCGGAGGGGGTGTCTGTGAGTGGGGGCCGGGGAGGATCTGCAGCTGTGCATTTGTTTTGTAGTGTGTGCACCAACTCCTCCCAAGTGAGCTGCCAGTGGGACGTAGGTAAGTGGCTCGGTGGTGGCTGCTTTTGAGGGTCCCAGCCCGGAAGACATGGGCTGCCCTGCTGCTGGGCTCTGCCCCCTAGTGCCCGGCTTCCTCAGCCTGCTGTGGGGCTCATGTCACGCTCGCTGTTCCCTCTGGGAGCTGGTGCCCTCTGATCCATCCTGTGTCAGAGGGACCCCTTGAAATGGAGGGACAGGGTCTTGCGAAGGTGCTTGTCCCCCCAGTGGGACAGCCTGGAGGCCTTAACAATCTGTCTCCTTCCCACCCCCCAGGGAAGATCGTCAACTCTACCGAGGATGGGCCCTTCTGCTTCTATGAATTCTGTGGTCCCAATGGGACAGTGCAGGGATACTTCAATGTCTGCTCAACCACCACGCTAACTCCGTCCACCACACTGCACGTGTCCACCCTGACCACCTCCACCTCGGTCCCCACCACCCCCACCACCCCTCTCACCACCACCATCACCCTCACGACCAGAGGAGGTACGGCCCCCAGGCCACATGTCCCTCCTTGGGGCTCACACAGCTCAACACACCTGAGCCAGCAGAGGCAGCCTCTGTTGTGCAAATTGGCTGCAAAATGAACTTGGGGAAAATGTTTCTAAGGGTGAGAGAAACCAGAGGGTTTCCTTAATGAAACGCCTCTGCGTTTGTGCTGGGTGGAATCACAGCTACCGTGGAACAAGCCTCTGCTTCCCAGTGATAAGTGGGGCAAGAAGAGTAGACCTCGCCAGTCCCTCCTGGAAGGCTGCCTTCAGGACCACGGAGGCTGCATGGGTGCCTCTGCCAGCCAGCCAGTGAAAGGCGTACTGAGTGACCTTACTGTGTGCTGAGCCCGGGACTGGCGAGCAGGTCTGGGGCTGAGTGGGTGACCACACTCAAGATGAACCCTGCCACTCTTCCTTGTTGGGTGGGTGGCTCTTTTGCTAATCATTTTTTGACACAGAGATTTGAAGATAGCTGTGGACAGAGTGCTGAGAGAGAGCTTCTAGACTGGGCTGGTCACACCAGGCGTGTTGCTCTTCTCCTGGGCCTGTTTATCCCTTATAAACAAAGGTGGAAGTGGTATTTGGCGCTAAACCCTGACTCTACAACCTCGTCCCAGTGTGATGGTGCAGGGGGAGAGGCAGGGAAGCCGTGCCTTGGGGTGTCATGGAGGTCACCGGGTCCTCCAAGTTGTAGTGAGCTCCCCGGGGGTGCCTCTCCCCAGACAGGAGTGACTAATGCTGGGCTTTGTGTCCCCAGAGCCGTGCTGCCTCTGGTCAGACTGGATCAATGAGGACCACCCTAGCATCGGCACCGATGGTGGTGATCACGAGACTTTTAACAGTGTCTGCGCAACTCCCGAGGACATTGAGTGCAGGTCGGCCACCGAGCCTCACCTCAGCTGGGAGGAGCTGGGCCAGAAAGTCCAATGTAATGTCTCCTTTGGGCTCCGTTGCAACAATGAAGATCAGTTTGGAAACGGACTATTCGAGCTGTGTTATGACTACGAGATACGAGTCAATTGTTGCCTGGCCATGGAATACTGTCCAACGTCCAGCCCACCCACCTCTCCACCGACCACCACACCCACCACTCCAGCGACTACGAC